CCCCTCCGGGTCCCAGCTTAGCCGATATACTCCCGACTTCCGCTAGTCATTGTTGCTCACGACTCCAATACTGCTCTCAGACCGCAGTCTTTGAGCATAAACCGCTACTCTCAGGCCTCGGCCTACGGTATCTCAGGTATCGAATGTATTATCCTCCCCGCTCACAGGTCAAAACCCAGAGTTGTGTCCGCTCACTATCAGCCACAAAGTCATCAAGTTCCGACACTTGGAGAAGATAATACTACAAACTCGCTGTCGGGTCGTCACCCTAAAGAGCGTGCTCTCGGATCGTCACCCGAAGCCACCGTACCCAACGCACTCTAAAGACACCAAGTCCCTCAAATACCGGTACCTCTGGAGCATACTCCGCTCCTCTCAAGTCATCAGGACACTCAAGTCCCGGAGCAACAATACTAACCGCTTTCGAGTACTCCCTCGAACTTTCCAAAAATAGAAATTCCACTTGAGGAAACTTTCCCTTTTTAGAAACCGCTCAATACATTCTTAAATAAGACAACTCAAGTCAAATCCAAGAAATACTCATCTTATTAATCTCAAAATGTCATAATCGTTACAACTCCAAACGAAAATACATAATGAAAGAAAAATAAGAACAACAACTCAAAACTCAAAAACTCCAAAAACTCTGAAAACTCTGAAACTGGAAACCAAGGATAGGCACTCAAGCAGCCGCCTGCTTCTCGAACCACTTCCCGAACTTTGCCTTCATCCTCGCCTCTGGCCCCCAAGTCTCCTCCGACACACCGTCGCAGTCCCACTGGACTTTGATCAAAGGAATCTTCTTCCGCCGAAGTTCCTTGATCCTCCTCTCAAGAATCCTCACTAGTCTCGCCTCCAAAGTCATGTTGGGCTGAAGATCCTCAGAAATCCTAGCCAACACCTGATCATCCTTGTGAAGACACTTCCTCAGCATCGACACATGGAACACCTTGTGGAACGCGCGCATGACCTCTGGCAACTCCAGCATGTATGCCACTGGTCCCACCCTCTCAACAATCTCAAACGGACCCATGTACCTCGGACTCAACTTATTCTCAGAGATAGACCTGTTCGGACCTCGCAACATAGCCATCTTAAGGTACACTCTATCCCCAACCTCGAACTCAAGCTCTCTCCTCCTCTGGTCAGCATAACTCCGCTGACGATCCTGAGCTTCCTTCATGTTCAGCTTCAGAACCCGAATCCTCTCGGAAGTCTGCTGAACAAAGTCTGCACCATATATGCTCCTCTCTCCCACTTGGGTCCAGTAAAATGGTGTCCTGCATGGCTTCCCATACAACGCCTCATAAGGAGCCATCTGAATACTCGCCTGGTAGCTATTGTTATAAGCAAACTCCACCAGACTCAAGTGATCAGCCCAATGACCACCCCAATCCAAGACACACATTCGCAACATATCCTCTAGTGTCTGGATAGTCCTCTCAGATTGCCCATCTGTCTGAGGATGATACGCCGTACTCAAATGCACCTTAGTGCCCATCTCTGCCTGAAAGGCATCCCAGAAAGCTGAAGTAAACCTGGGGTCCCTGTCCGACACAATACTCACAGGTACTCCATGCAACTTCACGATCTCGCTCACATACTTCTTAGCCAAAACCGCCACTCCATCGGTCTTTCTGATGGCCAGAAAATGTGCTGACTTAGTCAGACGGTCCACGATCACCCAAATAACATCCTTGGTCCGTGACACAGGCAAACCAACCACAAAGTCCATAGTGATCATATCCTACTTCTACTCCGGAATGGGCAAACTCCGCAACAGACCACTAGGAACCTGATGCTCAGCCTTCACCAACTGGCAAACGTCGCACTTAGCGACCCAGTCAGCTACATCCCTCTTCATCCCAACCCAATGATAGTACCGCTTGAGGTCTCGATACATCTTGGTCGCTTCCGAATGAATGGAAAACATGCTCGCATGAGCCTCTCTCAAGATCTCACGCCGCAACTCCTTATCTTAGGCACGCAAACCCGCCCATGCACAAGGATAGTCCCATTAGCTGCGAACTGATACTCAGAGCCCTCTGCCTTAGAAGCCGCAATCAAACCTTCGTCCTTCTCTTGAGCCAACCGCACTCTACTCAGAAGATCTGCATGATCCACAGCCTCCAACCCCAACGGCTCTCGGGTAATAGCACACAACTGCAACGCACCAATCTCGCTCGCCAAGGCTTCCACTCTGCCCTGGAGCAGCCCACACGCTTACGGCTTAGTGCATCAGCAACCACATTAGCTTTACCAGGATGGTAAGCTATCTCCAGATCATAATCAGCCACCAGCTCCATCCACCGCCTCTGGCTCAGGTTCAGCTTTGGCTGAGTGAAGATATACTTCAAATCTCAACTCAAGAATTTATGAAAAGCAACCTAGGTGAAAGTTCTATCTCTCTGAACTAACAACCTAGCAAAACAGACACAACAACGATGATCACAACACACGAACATCTAGATCATCCCCTCTTCCTCGCCACGATTCCACGTCACACTTTGCCTTTACCTGCATCACAACACGAATGAGATGCGTAAGTATTATCATAAATACTTAGTGAGGCAATCCTCCCAAGCAACAGGCTATACACACAAGCAATAGAAACAATACACAAAAACAGCAAACTCAAACAAACCAGACTGTCTGACGAACGTGTGTCGATCGACACACGACCTCCGTGTCGATCGACGCTCAGCCCGATTGGTGTCGATCGACAGACACTCCCTGTGTCGATCGACACCTTGCCCGATCTGTGTCGAACGACACCTTCCATTGGTGTCGAATGACACCAATCGCGTAGGCACTTTTCCAGCGATTTCCACATCGCGAATTCTCCTTCTCCAGTGCCCTAATTCGACCAACGATTCACACACAGGCCACACAAGGACCCAACAAGGCAATCACGACCAAGCAAACACACAAAACAGTCAATAACTCATCAAATCAACACATAAACGGTTCACACAAAGGATCTAATGCTCAGATAAGCCCTCAGTCATGCACTCACCTCTTTCTGGAAGAAAACTGAACGAAACTGCACGAACACAGGAAGGAGAACGACCCCTACAAGCTTCTCAACGCACCACCGGACTTAGATCTCCTTCACCACCAGGAAATCTCTCAGAAACAGGCTCAGGAACTCACAGAAAGGCTCTCAGGAACTTTTCTCTCTAAAACTCTCTTGGAAAACGACAAAGTGGCTGATGAAAGCCCTAGGTCGCATTCCCTGAAGTTCAGGGCCTGAACCTTATAAACGAGTCAATTAGGGTTTTCCTTCCCTAAACCGAACGAAATCGCACAATCGAAAGCCCAAAAGCCCAATTGTCGAAAACGTTAGTGTCGATCGACACACCCTAATGGTGTCGATCGACACGCTGAACCGAAACCTGGTTCGCGGGCGTTACATAGAGTGTCACGTCAATCAATTAGAAAAATATTGAAAAAGTGGCACAGATTTGATTAATCGATATAAAGCATGAAACAACATCACACCTACCTCTAAAAGGGGAACTTTTACATGTACTTAATATTATTATCATCAACACGGCTGAACTTTATTGTACATTACTCTAATACTCTTCATCTCCTATAGACCCTTTAGTTTTTAGAATTAGTATAAATGAAAACATTTGAAGACAATGATTTATAAAAGAAAAAAACACACACACACACACATTTAAAGACTTCCACGTAAAAATAGACCTTCCTATATACAAGATGCATATATCTTAATAATTATCCTTATGAAAGACAAGTTTCACCGTGGAAGTTCATTAGTCCATAATCCTCTAAGTCTTCGCCGAAAGCTTTGCCATTCTCTTCAGAAAGTCAACCAAGAAATATAGCAGCAACGACATGGGATTAAAGCATATGGGGTTAGATTTTTTTTGTTTCTTTGGCTTGAAGGACAGAGGTTCTTGATGTCATCTCCATTGATCAAGTTGCAACGTGCAATGGAATGTTTTTCCAAGTGGGGGACGATGTCTTATACGTGACAAAGTAGATCTAGGAACTATGAAAGATTCCTAACAAAGATCTAACTGCAAGCAAGGTAACATATGCAAAAAAGGTCATATATCTATAGGAATATAATCGAGATCTTTTTGTATCACTAACTAGATTCTTGACAGTTCAAAGGATAATATAGCAACAATGATTATAATCCAAACTGAGATTGGCGAATCAACACTCCGTGTATATTACGCTCATGGTGGTAATACTTTAACCCAAAGAGTAAAAATCAAGCTACTTGTATGTTTACAGCTAGAGAAAGATGCTCATGATTCATGTTTCCGACAAATTAATAAGTGCTTTTACCTTTTTTCTTATTCTCCTAATCTAAATGTCACATTTGCGTTCTTTTTTTTCTTTAACCAAATTTGAGTTTCCTTTCTCGGAAATTTATTTGGAAATTTTGAATTATACAAACGCTATAATCTTAATGTTTAGAACTAAAAAGTTGCAAATTCTACACTAAAAGAGTAAGTAAAGAATCAATAGTCACATGATATAAGGATATACAACGAAGAACATGACAAATAGGAGTGATACATTATATTTATAGAATATCCCTAGTGAGGAAAAATGATTTCCAGCTACACGAACTATACACCAACACATCACCACACATGCAGACTATTTTAATGTCTCGCTAACTACACGAACTATTGGTATTACATACGAACATCCCCGTACTATCACCATAATCATTTCCAGATAATATAAATGTCTTGTTAACTACACGAAGTATTTCCATCAATTTTTTAAAAAAAAAATAATTAGAAATTGAAAAAATAACTAAAGTTAATTAGAAAATGAAAAAATAACTAAAGTTAATTAGAAAAAATAGCCTCACACTTTTAGTTAGAGCCATATACTTAGATTCAATAGTTGAGAAGGCTACCAACGGTTACTAGTATGTGAAACCTTTATTTTCCTTAGAAAAATGCCAAAGATTAATTCAAAATCTTAGCTGTGATTATGTAAGCAGATTTTGTCTATATAATGCGAGACAGAAAATTCCCATTTGAGTGATAAAAACAATTTGTTGATTGAGTGCATTAATTTAAATTGCTGGCAAAAAGTTCAATGTGATTACACAATATAGTTGAACCCAATAAGGTGAAGAAGCCTATGACTAGTAGTATTAGCCCATTCCTTAGGAGGATATGAAATGATTATAATCAGTAATCACCCAAAAAAAAAAAAAAAAAGTTACATAATATCACTTGTCGATTTTAGGTTTTCAGACCAAAAGTCTCAGATGCTATTCTTGATGATGACTTCTATATAAGCAATAATTTCAAAACAGAAAATAGCTTATTTTGGAAGCAAAAAGATTCGAAGGGATGTTGGAATCAACTTTATTCCCCAATTAATATTGGTGCTGTTCGTTTGCCTGCGGCTGTGGCGAACGCAGATAATGATGTTCGTTTCGTTGCCGCCGGTACCTGCGGCAGAACGCTGCGTCAAACGCGAGTCAATTGCTTTTAAAATTTCGATCGCCGATTTTATCCAGCGTCTGATGCTTAAAAGTTGCGGTATAAATGATAAATTACGAAAATACCCTTATTGTTTTGAAAGATTTACAAAATAACCTAAACCCTAAAATCAAAATTAACGCTGCTCTTGCCGCAGCCTCTTCTTCGTCGCGTCCAAATCTCTCTCTCGACGACGAAGCTTGATTCAAATCTCTCTCTCGACGACGAAGCTGGTTAAATCTCTCTCTCTCACTCTCTCTTTCTCTGTTTGGTCTGTGAGTGAATCGATCTGTTTTTGATTTGAGCTCATCGAAGATTTGATTATGGGTAGTTCTAGATCAGTGAGTGAATCGATCTGTGTTGTGGGCTGGTTAACTGCAAAAATTAGAGATGTTTTTGGTATAAATTCATATATCTCGACCTCTCAGTTTTTTCTGTGAGCTGGTTAACTGATACAGAACCACACGTGTGGCTCCGCACGTGAGAAGCTAAAGAATAATAAGGACGAATAAGAGGGTGACGCGTGGCAAGCAGAGTGAGGCTGGCGAGAAATGGCCGTCGCGAGCAGCCTATTTCATCATGCCTTTGTCATTTTTTTTGTCAATTTATCGATCAAATTGTAAACTCTTTGGAGATTCTGGATTTGAAAGTGCTAGGGTTCTCTCATCTTGAGAGCTAGCCTCGATTGGGTGTTTTTCATGAACATTGAATCGATTTATCTTGGTTTTGGTGTTGATTTGTGTTGATTGTTTTGTGATTCTTGTGATTTGGAGTTTGTCTGTAACATTAACTTCGACGAACACAAACTTTGCTTTGCAATTTAATTGCTGGGCCCATATGTAAATGTGTGTTCGTACTGCAATGGTGATGGTTCAGCTGTTTCTATGTCACTTCCTACTTCAGGTAATCATTTTGTATCATCTCTGTTAAAGGCATTGATCTGTTTTGTTTCTATTTATGCAGCCCGCTGGTGCTTTGTCCATTAAAATTGGTGAGTATTGTTAGGATTCGTGCTTATGACCGAATGGGTAATACAACCGAGGTCTCTGACG